AGGGAGTTACGTATGTCGTGGGGGAGGGAGTATGAAAGAATTTTGCCTCATTCTCTGGTTGTTCTTTTGCGGTTTCATTTGTTTCTCTGGTGCTATACCCCCTGCTTGGAAATTTTTTGGGGAAAATTGGAAATACAGATAATAGGTAGAAGGATAAAGGGGGGGGGGCGGTGTGGTCGTAGCAGAGAAAGAACGATATTGGGGAGGAGTCATATTTTCCGGAAATTTCCGGCAGGACGTGACCTGATTTTCACTAATTATTACTAAACCAATATAAATTTAGTTCATTGAAGTGAAGGAATTCACAAGAGTTTCTCTGTTCACCGACAGTTGGCGCAGATGTTCCACTGTGGCAACATAACTAAGCCTTGGATTGGATTTGGTTCATGCAAACTAGACCATCCGACGGACATGAGCTCATTCGCATCAGGTTGCCAGGCCGTATGCATGGGAAGTGTTCGTGAGCCAACCTTCCCAGGGCCTTATCCGGGCCACGCACCCATTCAATTGCCTGCGATTCTGAATAAAAGGCGGAAGCGTGGCGTGTCGCGGTACAGGACTACTTAAACCCTCTTCTCTATTCGCTAACTCCCATTCGAACAATAGCAGGTACAATGCAGGAGATCCGCGTTGAGCGGCGTTCATACTTGGCGACTCAGCGTTTCATGCGAACGAGCGTTCCGAGCGAAAATGATAGGTATCGATAGCTGCCGGTCGTTCGTGTTTCGGGAGAAACAGCGCGTTGGTAGGGATTCTAGCCGCCAATCGATATCTATGCAATCCTTTGCGCTCAAAACGTCGTTTTGTAGAAAGGCAGATTTTTCCTAAACGCCGCGTCGCAAAAGTATGAATGCGGCATCGCGGCAGGGGTAGCTAAGCGACTCTACACACATCAAGACTTCCACGTCTGAACAATTAGGTCTTGCTTCGCAACGATAGGCGCGCTGTAATGCCCACTCGCAAAAGGGATCTCTCGCCACGCATCTGATCGAAAACGAACACTGACAGATATATTTCAGCGTTTACAACAACACCCGGGTTGAGAACGATGACACACGTATCTAACGGTCCACCCTCCCCAAAACAAACTCGACAAAAATAGTATTTTATCTGATGGACGATATGCTCATTAGTTTGAGCCTGCAAAAATGAAAAAAAAAAATACATATCTCATAACATTCTCATTTCACAGCTGTTTCAATAACAATATCACATCAACTTCATCAATATCGATCGAAGCTGTAATCGAAATTCATGACAGGAGGTAGTCTGAGACGGATACACAAACATTTACTGAAGATGACATCCATGATCATTTCGAGTAAGACATATTAGTTATCCCTATGGTGAAAAATTAAGAAAAAATAATAGCTTAGAATAATGCATTATATTAGAGAACAGTACGTACGCTCAGATCTATAGTCAAGCTCTTACAACAGCTATTCACAGTATATAGTAATCTATAGAAATCTGCTTCTTCCTCTCTCTCGCTACTCTCGCTACTCTCCGTCATCTTTATGCGACAGCTATATGATTCGGTGATATGGTTGGTTTCCCGTTGTTTCCTATGTGGTTCCTGAAATAGAAAAATAAATAAATAAAACAAAGTAAAATGAAAAATGACGCAATATACATCAGAAAAAAATAAAACATGAAAAGAAAATACGCCACGCCGCTGTAATAAAAAATAGTAATAATAAAAGTTCATCAATTACCCATACAAGCCGATATTGTTTTGAAACACATGATGCGTTCTAGGTCTGGTGCCTTTTATTTTGGAATTGCATTTAAAATGAGGAGGCGGTATTATGGCAAGTGGCGCGCTTCCGCCCAGAGCGGTCAGACGGCAGATCCCAGTTCGACCCCCACCCCTCCCAAGCAAAAGAGGCCTTCTTACCTTCGAGAACGCGTAAATGGCGGACAAATCTGTACTGGAGAGGGTAAGAACAGCTGAATTCATAACATAAGCTAGGCTAGCAACAACTCAATTTATAAGGCCGCCTCGCATTCAGAAAAGCCGCTGTACGGTCTGTGAGGAAGTAGAGCACGAGCTGCATCTCAGAGGATGATCAAAGGGATACTTTATCACTCAAATATCCTACTTATATTTAGAGATCATTTTCATTTCCAGTCTGATGCCATCTGAGCGATTTGGACAAGTCTGACAGTGCGACTGGCTGAAAAGCGGGCGCTCACGTATACAGCTGAGCTAACAAAGTATTGGACACTCAAACTTTTGTCCTGTAAAGTTGCCTTTGAATTTTGCCACATGAGACCTTTATTGTTGAATTCCTCACAAGCGAAAACATTGGAATACACTACTTCTAAACACTTTGTGGACTAATGAACAATTAGTTATTGTTTTGAAAAAGTTTCTTAATAACAAAAGTATGTGGACACTTAACAAAAAACAAATGTATCGTGGAAAATAGAAGTTGGTTCTTCCTCCAGTGTTCACTATTACTTCGAACATTCTGTCTGGCATGCTGTGGACAAGATTTGTCATGGTGTCTTCGTCGATTTCCTCCCATGCAGCAACTATTGCCTCCTTCAAGTCTCGCACACTGGTTGTTACTGCCACCGTCATGTAGATTACGATCGAGCATTGACTTCCCCACAGGAATTCGGTTGGCATTGCACTGTCAGCGAGAACACGCCGGCCAATCAATCATTTTGAATACCAATTGCCGTTTGGCAGCTATTTATCTAGTAGAATTTTGAAACATGCCACGCGCCGTTTCTCCATGCCTGCATTACATGCTGTCCTTGCGTAGATGGCCGCCCAGAACAAGGCAAGAAGGTTAGGACTACAAAGCACTCGCTTGGTATCTCCTCTTATAGTTACATACAGACACGATGCGCGAAGGCTAAGCATCCAACTTTCCTCTGCCTTCCGAAAAACCAACCCCAGTTACCGATCAGAGAGATCGCCTCCGAATTTCGTCTCAGAGAACACAACGGATCGCTACAAAATCCTTTCCAGTGATGCTGATATCCATCTGGACCGTCGAGATTAACTTTATCTTATCAGGGAAGATAACCTAAGAAAGAAATGCGCATAAGACGTTGCCTTTCTGATTTTACAAATATCTACAGAAGAAACTGCAACTATGTCCCCCGCTTCGCCGTTTCTTACACGCACAAAGTTAGTCTAGCAGTTATGGCTGCCTGGCAGATCAGGACAGGAGACAATTTCTTCATGGTCTCTCGAGTGATGTACTCACTTGATCGAATAGAGCGCCATATTGTCATTTTTGAGACCGGATAGATTCATCGCGGCATGGATCTGTGCCACAGAAAGCGGGGAGTTTGAGGCTATTCTTCTGATGTCTTTGCGGACAAAGACATCAGTAGGATGCTTGAAACACGTTACGAGTGGTATCATCAAATCAGAGGTAATATACCAACGCACGGTCGCCGAAAGTCCAATTGCCTTTTTGCAATGATTCTCTATTCGAGAGCACTGCAGCACTGAAAGCTCGAATCCGAGCTTGTTCGTCTTCGTAGGGAGGACTAAAACTACGAGGTATGAGTACAGGTTAATGGGGACTAGAGACCATAAAAATGGATTGCAGATAAACTTTGGACTTCCTCAGGTGTCCACATACTTTTGTTATTAAGAAACTTTTTCAAAACAATAAATAATTGTACAGTAGTTCACAAAGTGCTCAGAAGTAGTGTATTCCTATGTTTTCGCTTATGAGGAATTCAACAATAAAGGTCTCATATCGCAAAATTCAAAGGCAATTTTGCAGGACAAAAATTTGAGGTGTCCACATACTTTTGTTTTACCTGTATCACCTATTCATTTATTGCACCGTGATGGTGCAATAAATGATACAAATAAATAAATAGGTATAGGTGAAATCAAGCGTTTCGGGCTCCGATCTCGGCAGAACACAGAACGTCGCACGCTGGGGCTTCCCCAGCTGAGAGACGTATTTAGCTTGAGAATTTTTTTCAGTAGTTGGATTTTTTCCTATCGCGCATTATTCACAACGTTGGGGATCCCCTTTGGAGGTTGGGGGGGAGGAGAGGGATTGTAGTGTTCAGCCGAAAACCCCCACTACCCCAAGCGAACGCAGCACTCTCGAAAAAACTTGGAAAATTTTCACCGAACAGTTTCCGTGAAAAGTAGATGGGAAGTTGGGAAAAATCATCATAATGATCACTACGTAAGTACGATGGGGAAGTGCGCCGCTGACCTCATGGAAGTAAGTATTTGTGGAAAATTAGGAAAATACTAACCAAATAGATCCTCAATGGCAAGCATCAGTTGCAAATGAGTCAGCCGTTTCGCCAGCGGGATCTTGAATCTTCAGGACTGCAAACAGCCAGTGACCAAAACCAGCACCCAATATAACGGCGATGGCTGAAATTGGAGACAGATTTATGAACATATAAGCGAAAAGAATTTTGATTAGGCTGAAGGAGCGAAGCGTTTCGTTAGTTTAACCCAGTGTGATCGGCCAGTAAGGAACGCTTGTAGTGTTTCGCTGACCGTGAAGTAGAGGAGGCAGATTCACGATCGAGTAAGTTTAGCAATCCTCGATGAGATAAAATTTCGTCAGTGGGGAGGACTTTCCATTGGATGGAAATTCTTGATTTGGATTTTTTTTTCCGTTCCAGGTGCGCTACATACATGCTAGTCTGTGGCGCGATGTAACGGAAATGTCCATTTGCCCCGGGTTGACTGCAACTGGAGTACTTCCTTGTTATCGTTGGTAAAGTCGCGATCAGTCGAGGCAGGATAGACATCATGATGTGTAAAATAGTGATGCAGAACGACCTCCTCCAACCCTTCTGAACACTCACATCTTTCAGTTTTTCACCCAAACACCTTCCGTCAAGGGGCGGGGGGGGGGGACGTCAGGAGCCAACCACCATTTTCGGCTATAGAACTTTGGCGGCGCCACCAACTAGGGGACTATATAGCAAATGTGAAACGGAGAAAAACCGCGAAAAGTCAACAACCGAGAAAAATTTTTCCCAACACAGCAAATTTCTCTCAAAGGCACACACGAACCCCCTCTCCCAACAACGACCAAATACGACCACTCGCCCTCCTCATCGGCCAACTACGATCCCCCTTGTGTTTCACACAATGATGCTGTACCCTGAGTCGAGGCGGTGCCAGGAGAGACGAATGAGCCCGCCTTCGGCGGTTGCAGTGGTTATCGGATAGGGACTCAAGCAATGGTGATCGGATAGGAACTAGGTAAAATTTGTATCCTGCAAAGCAACACCCACTGAATATAAGCAAAGTGAGACAAGAAGTTAGATGTGTAAAATCGTTTCTTCGCACATTCCCGTACTTAATACCATTTCGCATATAAAAAAAACCAAAAAAGTTAAAACTGTGTTTCGCTCGCTTTATAAGTAGTGTGTTTCCCAAACAGCTCTGCGTATTTGTAAGCATTAAACGCAATCTCACCCCCCCTCCCCCCCGGAACGCCTTGGCCGACATCGCGCACTTAGAAAACAGCTTCAAGGAATAAATAAGCTAACGCAGTGCAAAATGAAAGATAACTGAGTAACAGATTTAGAGCAAAAAATGTTCAAGTATTAGTGAAGGCACAGTGAAAGAAGTAGAGGTGCAGTATGGCTTGGGGCACCAAAACTGTGTACTTAGCTCAGCTTGTACAGGCCACCTTGTAATCTGTACACTCCTGTGATCGAGTGGCTTAACAGGTTCACAGAAGATTTGACTCTGACAAAGGTGAGACCTTGACTTAACATAAACCAAGAAGGAACAACAAGGAACTACCGGAAGTGCAAAAGCCCCCAACCCCACCCCACCCCCGCGGCACGTAATAAAATCCAAGCCAGATAAAAATACAAAAAAACTTACTTAGCCATGTATTGTAGGTCATGACAATCAACATGAGCCAGTAGGCAAGCACAAGTTGAAAAACATATAAGTGATGCTTGAATGAGTCGTATTGAAGAGCACGCAGACGAAGGAGTAAATGGGCTGAAAAAATAACTTTTTGATGTCATAGGATTTATCAAAATATTAGGCAACCAAAAAAGTTCGTGCGGTTTTGAAGGTAGCGAAATAATAACATAAAAAACGGGTTAAACTTAGATTTATTCCGAAAAATAATTACCCTCAGCAAGTAATACACTTTCCCATTTCGACACAAGAGCATACGTTCCATTTTTGTAAAAATCTTGCTTTTGGGAATTAAACAAATGTTTTAAGTTCGTTGTCCAAAAGCCACTTCATTTTCAAATCGCGATACCTCATGTGGTTGTTCAAGGAAAAAAACAAATGATAGTCACTTGGAGCAAGGTCTGGCGAGTACGGAGGGTGAGGTAGAATTTCCCATCCTAGTCGCGCTATTGTTTCCTGAGTGATTCTTGCATGTGTGATGGCTTGCATTAATCCTGGTAGAAAACCGCACCTTTTCTGTTCGCCATCAATGAAGTAATTTGAATTAAATTAACAAACACACTGAACACTCCTTGACATATGTCTTAACATGTATTCAATGTTACCCAACCACTAGGTCCAGTTTATTGAATATACTTTATAAAAGTAGACAATTAAAACAAACCGCACGAACTTTTTTGGTTGCCTGATATTATCAGCAGATCGCTTTATTTTCCTAACAAAATTAAGAGATGATCAATATCTAGCTCATACCAAACAATAGTCGGGGCGTGACACTATAAGGACAAGAGGCCGCAATACGGCTTTGCTGAGGCATTTATCGCCATTCTTGTCAGTCCCCCTGGATCGCAATGTAAACTAACAGGTCTATAATTTTGGTGAGATCTGTAAGCTTTTGTGAAGTTGCGAAACGGAACAAGTGCGCCATTTTGGCTACAAGAATTAATAGGTCTTCATAAGGCGGTCTGTACAAGCATCATCGAGTACTATTTGATGCCCCACCAGGCCGAACTGCGCCAGCACAAATTTTCATACGAAAAATCGTCTATAAGCGCGTGGCTCCTATGACCACCCACTCAAGAAAGTGCGGGATAAGTCCCGCTTCCACGAGCCATGGTCCTTGAGGCAGTTATTATTAGTTTAGGTCTGACTGGACTCCGCCTCCGCTGCGCCCCCCGCGCTCCCATCTAGCAACATCATATCCGGCGCGAAATACTGTACAAACAGCCTCTATCTGAACGCAACTGAAAACACCCTTGCTATTTAAATCATTCTCTCGGAAGTGAAAGCGAACGTAGGCTGATCTGAGGCCCTTGGACAGAATGCGGCTGGAAATTTGTCTCCAGAAAGAGTATGACTCGCTTGAACACGAAACAGCGCATCAGCTTTCTTTGTCAAGTTCAGCGCGCAAGTATTTTCGTCGGCTGTAGGCGTTAAACTGCTTTGGCGAGTTGGCAATTGCGTCGGCCCACAAGCTTGTTTTAGCACCGGCGCCTTATGCGGTTTCCGGGTGTATTCGCTTGAAGCGCGTATTGGTTTCATTCATGAGCTACACCATTCACTGAGTTTCGGGCATTTTCGTCGTAGCGAGAATTCCGAGGCGGCGCTGGGCTGGTGCAGAATCGGCGTCCAGGGCTGTCCTTGGGGACCGGTCTACGGCGTCGTAATACGTTGGATGGCGGTCACACCATCGGTACGACCTCTGACTATCTCTCCCTCCGCATACTAGGCGCTGGACTACGGAGAATATATAGCGCACGTGAAACGGGAAAAATCAGAAAAAGTCAACAACCGAAAAAAAACTTCTGCCGGGTCAAAATTTTTCTCAAAGCCGTACACGACCTCGCCAACCAAATACGTCTCACCCCCTCTTCAGAGACGAATGCGACCTCCATGAGGGTCCGGTTTGTGATTCTAACGACGCTGTACCTTGCTAGGGACAAGTTTATAGCCAAATCTGCTCTTCTGTTTTCTTTTTTTCCGGGAAGATTGCAGCCTCCTGACTGCTGAGAATTTGGGTTCATAAAGGTTAAAGTACTGAATTAAACGCTAAAAAGATGTGCATTCGAGATGCTTACCTCTCGCGGCGATTATGGGTTTTTGATGTAACAGTTGGTGGAGTTGTGGTTGGATTGTAAACGTCTTCATTTGAATTATGGCAAACATCATTATGAAGGGGAGCCTAGGAACGAAGAAGATGTATCAAATGTTTGGCCCATTTGACTGTGCCCAATAAAACTCTACCTTATCTTGATGATTAACATGTTCGAGACGTATACTCTTTTCATGCTTACACATTTCTCTCGATGCATTCATCTGTAGGTATACTCGAAACCATTTAATACCTTCATACATCGCTCCCATGACAAATATACAAATAAATGATAAAATAAGTCCTAAAATTTTGTTTTGGGAATGAAAACGCACAGAAAGTGAAATCTTTTAAAATTGTTGTTTAGCAAAAAGATGTGTAAAATACTAACCAAGTAACGAATCTATACGCCAAAAATCGAATAAAATCACTTCGTTCCATCCTCCATGGAACCACATCTTCATCTCATGTCCACCGTGACCACCATGGCCACCATGGCTGGCATGACTGCTGTGCGCTGAGTGATCATGAGAACCTGAAATATTTAAGAGGCTGGTACAAGTTTCAGAATAGTCCATGTTCGACTTTCTTGGAATCTTGGCATGTTGTATATCGTTCGTATTTCTTCTAGCCTTTCCGAGATTGACTAAGACAGCGTTCAGACTTTCGCGACGGCAGCGCTTCGCGCATGTCCGAAAGCCAGGCGCTGGTCACGCGACGCCTGCCGTCGAAGTCTGAACGCTGCCCAACTATTATCTAGAACCCTACGTTTCGGGGAAATCGCCTTCGTCAGAGCCTGAAATGGTCAAGAAACATTTCGAGACCTGCTCGCTCAACATTTCAACAGTACTCAAGACAATATGTCCACACTCCAGTAAATCACTCAACGGTATCGATTCAGTACGCAACGCTGGCTTACCTTGGCTGCGGCCGCGTGACGCGAGGACGATCACCCTGTCGAGGCTCAAGCGACGAACAAATGAATCGGAAGGAATGGTTTCAGGGCCATACACGCGAAGCTCGCCGGCCTTTCTTGACCTCTGCAAGTTTTGAAATACCGGGAGGTCGGGGAGATTACTAGTAATTCTCACTGCACGTTTGAGGCTTTACAGAGTGGTCGTCCCTGCGTCACGTCGCCTAGATCAAGGTAATGTGATTTATGTGATAAAATTGTTTTTACTTATTATCATGAAACACCAGTATATAATGGTGTGGTATAATTTTCGATATTGAATTTTTGGATTATTGATTTCAAGTAAGCCAGCGCTCCGTCCTAAATCGATACCGTTGAGCGATTTACCGGTTTGTGAAAATTGTCTTGAGTACTGTTGAAATGTTTGAGCGAGCAGGTCTCGAAATGTTTTTTGACCATTTCAGCTTTTGACGAAAGACGAAGATGCCGGAAAAGTAGGCCTCTAATAAAGTTACTCAATCTTGGAAAGGCTAGAAAAAATACGAGAACGATTCAAGAGGCATTAAAAAGGAATTTGAACCGAACTGAACACTGAAAGGGAAAGAAAGAAATTCGCTACTGTTCGACATATGGAATCGCGCTTTCAAGCAGGGTAGTGAATGAATGGCCCTCACATTTCGTAATGGAGATTATCGGAAAACCGCTCCATCGGAAGCGAGAAATCTCTTCCACTGCCTCACGAATGACACGTCTCAAACTCGTTACCCAGGCACTTACAGTCCTTATCCCTGAGCCAGGATAGGCGTGGCATTTGAGCATGACACGGAATTTGTTATTCGTGGAATATTCCAGTCTGGGACAACTGTCGTCTTGTCCTGTGTTATACGAGACACGACAACAGTTGTGTAGAGATGGAAATATTCCACAGCATAAACACCTTCAGGTTAAGTTGAAGAATGCAGCCACGCCTAGCCGATCTCAGGGATTTCGAGTATGCCTTGGGGTCTGTGCTCAAACTGGGCCAGTTTGTGAAAAACAACTTATCCTTTCAGGATTGAGACAGGGTTTAAAAATCAAAGGTAATGAACAGTTTAAAATCCCTGTCCTTCACCCTGAATTGACCAACACTCCCAAGACATAATACAGACCCTGCCTTCGTTCAGTGAACGCAAACATGACACACACGTTAATATGGATTTCTCAACCTACAGCACCCCTTATGCACAATACCGAGGTGCCAACAGAGGACAGCTTGTATCACCCTCCCGACAACCCCCTTTTTTTACCCCTTCCCTTCACAATCTCACTCAAAGAATGTTCTGGCAAAACAAATGAACTAAACTATGGCACAAATCAAGTCAGGGCTTTAAAACATCATCATATCTTTTCCATTACCCTTCCTCTGAGGACTATTCAGTCACGCTTCTCAAGATCAGCACCCATAAAGACGGAGTGCTGGTGCGCTTTTGGTTCTGAAAAAAGGACAGTTCTCTGGAAAAACATTGCTACGGGTCGCCAGTAAGCCAATATGATTTAGGACTTACTAAAATCATCGTGAGGGCTTCTAAAACCTTTTTCTCATCTTTATCCCTTGCTTTTCCCGAAATAATTCATAAATACGTGGAGTTCCTGCTGACTGTCTGTCACTGGACGAAACCACAGGACTTTCACTTCTCTATCTTCCTACGAAGATCGCGTTCTAGGACGTGGCTTGCAACAGTGCAGAAATGCAGGATTGAAGAAATAATGAAAAGGCTTAGAGACGTATCGATTCGTAAAAATGCATATTCGCTCCTGCATATCGATATCGGTATCTAACCCTTTTCGTCATTTCTCCTGCGCTGAAACACTGCTCTTCTTCAAATCGTCAATTCTCCACTGTCGCAAGCTATGAACACGGCCTTAGAGAGGACCAAGAAATAAAATAAAAGGTCAAGAGTCCAGCCTCCCATCACATCGCTGATTAGTCGCAAAAACGAAAAGCAAATCTTCAAAGCTATGGAAAAGAGATATCAAAATCTAGTTTGTTTTCTGGCGACTGGAAGAATGAAAGAAAGTCCGAACTCAATGGATCATCACGTGCAAACGAGATACGAGAATCCCTACTCTGGGTGCAATGCACAGAAATACCCGACTGGAATAGCGAAGAAAAATGAAAGTCGTACCGTGATGTGAGTGATGATCGTGGTGATGTGAAACCGATGTGTTTTCTAACTCTTTCATGAAGGCATCGACATTGTCCAAGATGTCGCTTGCCATACCCAATTAACTGAATAATATTTTTAAATGAATCGCGGCAGGCTTTGCTTACTCAACGATGACAATATCGATGGAAAAAGGACACTTATACAAAACAGCGGCGCCACACATTGAAAGCTCTCCATTAAAATATATTTCACGGTCTACGAATTTAAATGAGGTCTCAAACAACACTTTTGTACAAAGAACTCTGTGAAGAAACTAAAATTAGTTAGGGTTAAAGAACAAAAAGAAAGCCAAGTGGCGGGAACCTAATCAAAAATCGCCGACTCACAAACTACCGCCGACCAGGTGTGTTGTGACATTCCGTAGTCCGAGCGATAAGATAATTCGGTACAGTTCCGAAAAACAGTCCGTTCAAACCAAAGAACTGATGTTTTGACAACAACAGCAGGAAATACAAATGAGCCAAGAAACCAACGAGGATGACGTGAGATGTGATACATTAGTGGGATTACGTCCAACATCGCTAGAAAAACGTTCATGGTGGTCGCGCTTCCCCAGGGTGAGCCGGACAAGGTACACCTCACCGTTTCGGAAAATTAAAATATTTCCTCACCTAATTTCGTCTCTGACGCGACTCGCTCTTCCCTCCTACCTACATCTTTCCGAAAAAAAATAGAAAACATATGAAACGGAGAACTTTTGTGAGTTAAGATTTTTTTCTCCAACGAATGATGCCCCATCCTTCCCAGCAGTTGAGCGAATACCCCTTTCCTAACGTACGACCTAGCCGACCACGGATCGAGTATTACTCGCGGGATAGGCGCTATCCAACTTTTGGGCAGTCATATGTAGAAGTAAAAGGATATACATTCGGCCGAAGAGAGGCAGTAAAGGGAATAATTGAGGTTTTTCGAGCGGAATTATGGAGTTGCGAATCGTAGGGAGTTTTACCCTTTCTACATACACCCCTCTTTCGGGTGGTAGATTTCTGCGGGAAGATTGGAGGTTAGAGATGGAGGCGCCTTCTCGTTCGTCGGGATAATTACTGTATAAACGAAACAGAACGAAAAAAGGTCGGCGAGCAAAAACGTACTAAAAAAAATGGATGGAAAAATAAGCGGAACAAAAGGGAGGGGTGCACTTTGCAAAAGCAACGTACCTGTTCAGAAGAGCAAATAAACGAAATATTGGATAAAGGTAAATTGGTAAAGAGTGGAGACAAATGAAGAATAAATTATAATAAAAGTAATATAATTAATGATAATGTATGCAAAGTCAGAAAATAAGTAAAAATATATAAGTAAAGAAACACAAATATAAAATTCAATTATGCAATGAGAAGCATAGTGATTTTTGAATGCTATTTATACTGAAATGAAATAAAGCCTTCGTCTGAATTTCAGAAAGAAGCTCAGAAACAATCATAACGGCAGCTGAAGGATGAAATCAATCCCTCCAAGCAGGCTTGGCACACAGCCATAAATCATCACTAGGATTCATTAAGCACAGAAGCTTTCTCAGGCAAGGGCGAATTTCGACTCACGTCACATGCCTTTCATGTCAAATTTTGAAAAAAAACAGGCCCCGACACCACCTTCCGACCACGCAAATAAAGATGCCCGCAGCTCTAACACTACAGCGGAACGCACGCCGACCGTGGAAGTGGTGAATTTGATTGCTAGTGCATAAGTAATGAAAAATTTCCGGTGGGTATTCCAAGCAACGACTTTCTCTGAGAGAACACAGAAAATCTAAAAAATTGATAACGTGGCCGAGGGTTGGAGCTTGAGCATAGCTATAGCTGCCACTTACTATCATTATACATTAAATCTCTGAAACATATATAGGGAAAGGATGCTCTGTAATCGAGTTTTTAAGATGGGAGGCCAAGTGTTTTAGTGTAATGAAAGCTCTGCCATTCAGCAATGTAAATGTGAACGTAGTGGAGTTGGGAAAAACTAGTGCAACCAAAAAATGTAGAAAATAGTCTGCACTCAATGTATCTGCGGTAAAAAGGAGGCGTGACAGTCTGGGGCTTCGCATCATTATGGTAGGAGGTATTGCGGATGCCGCGTGACGCAGAACTGTAAAAATTGCTCGTTGAAAGGAAAGGCATTGACGGATTCAGACTCGATCACACACCTCACATCGATGGAATCAGCGTCTCTTGCCACTGCACCACCCCCACCCGATCAGTAGCAGAGTGTTCACTAAACAATAATAAAATTTATAGGAAGCATCATCATTCTTCTCAAATCCGCGCTTGTCGTATGGGCGGAACTGCTAAAAAATGCGCTTTTGCCATGGTTGGCTCCAACTTTCAGAATGGTAGAGAGGAACAGGCCGACAGTGAGGACTACAATTTCAAGTGATCCCGCCCACATGACGAACACGCAATGTGCTTTCAAGGGGAAACATGATCTTATGAGTTATTGAATACATGAACAAATAAACATAGAAATCATAGATATAAATTCAGATGGATCAGATATGAAAAAGCTCAAAGGGGGTAGGGGAAGCCGCAGCTTCATGTCAGTGACAGCTGAGAGTGAGAGTGAAGCGCCAGTAATTGCATAGGCATTACTAATTACCCGTCTGTTTCCGCAGTTGTGGGTACTCTCTCCAGAAGTGGGTAAACACAATATCAGAAAGGATGTGAAACGAAATACAGATCTTTTATTTACTCTAGGACAACACCTCAGGCCGTTTGATATATTTGTATCAGGACCAGTGAAAGTGAGGGTTACATAGTGTCCCTGGGCGTGGTGTCATGTCAGAGCGCTGTGACTTATACCCGCAGCCGATTAGATCAGTTCCTAGGTGCGTACCCTAGTTTCTCAATGCGTTCGGCTTAGTAGTCCTAGATTAATTCGGGATAATAACTAACTGGGGGGGGGCAAGATAGTGGCCTCTTCAGTTGGATAACACGTTCTTGGCGAGGGCGAAATAAGGAGAGTCCATCAAGTGGAGATAAAACGTCCACACTCAAAAGTATGGGAGGAGGCTAACCAAAGTCCAAGAAGGCAGCCAATTATGACGTGAGGACACTAACGTTGGAGGACATCCAAAGAACGGCAACCATGACGTTATCACGTGTTTTCTAGACCCTATTTCCGACATTCAATATCGCGCTGTGGCAAACTCAGGATTCTAATCAACATGGCACTCCAGGGGAGCACTTCAATGCAGAGTGTCGCATGGGCAGTGCCCCCTTGCGCAGCAACATCGGCCAATGGATCGAACTCGAACGCCACGTTATCTCTGAGCCTGAATCCTTCGCATTCCATGATATTACCAGCATTGCGCGCAGTTCTCTCAGCTTGGGGGGCGGATAAACAAATGATACTCAGCGTGCAAGCCGCCTTTTGAAAACTTGTGAACCAAAGGAGAAAAGCGTTCACTGGCACTGTTTCGCGGTTTTGCGCAAAAAAAAGTACAAGTTTGCAAAAAATTCCTTGACACTCACCATTTAACTTTTTAACCTTCTCGAAAAGTCTCAATGAACTTCTAACTTTTTTCAACTATTTTAAATTTGATCATTTTGAACGTGTCGCTCCTACCCTTCCTTACTGATGAGCACGGAGGGAGGATATCATGGTTGTCCAGTTTCCGTCTAAGGGCACGTGCGAAACGGAAACTAGACTACTTCCTTAAAATCAATTAAAACAAAAAATTAAAACGAAGAATTTAAAATCATAAAAAAAATAATAATCTAAAATTAAATGATTAGATAAATAAATTGAATTAAAAAATCAATATTACGAAAAAAATATCACAGTTTATATCAATTTGTTGTAATGTTAAGGAACAAGTATAATGATTTCACACTTAATCACTTTACACAAGCTGACAGGTCCTACGAAATAAAATCCGCTAGTCAACATAAATAAACAAACTACAGAACAGCGACCGAAAAGGGCAAATGGCCCTCCCTAAGCGAGCAGCGCTGCACGCGAGTCTGAGCAGGTAACACTGCATTGATGTTACCGGTGGCTAAATTTCAAAACACGCTGTTTGAAGCAGTTGGCACGATAAATGACTTAAGACGAATATGGGTAATATGCCTAGGTAGAGACAGAATTTGTCGGCGCTTGAGCCAGGCATTGCGAGGCTGCCCTTACCCCAAGGAACCGGCCCTCCTATGATGGCCCTATAAGCTCACAACAAACCCGAACACCGGACGCCTCTTACGACCGCCCGCCCAGCACAGACGACGACCGTTTTCTAGACCCTGCGTACTGATTTAAAAAACATCTTGCTAGGCAAATTATGACTGAAGGGATGGGTATGAAGGCGACTGGCGTGCCGGCATGTTATATGAGTACACTACATGCCCCTTATCTTCGGTAGCGGTTTATTACGCGCAACTGCTATTGAGAACTCGTCCGACAATTGATTTTGTCACTGCAAACAAAGGCTTTCTCTGTCACAGGTTTTTATGACCGTTTTACTCCGTTTCTTCTCGTCATTTTCCCCACTATATAACGCGCCGCCTGCTAGCATTTTAGGCCAAGTATCTGAAAATTATCCGTGCCCACTGGCCTTTAACAAAGGAATGATTTCCGCTTAGACTGTGTTTCATGATTTCTGAAAACCAATATCGACTACGATTGACCGGGTTCTACCGGCAGCTGTTGCACCGCCGCAAGTGGGAATTTAGTTCCTGTCAGGGTAAAATTTGTCTCGTCTTTTTAACGGTCCAAGGATTAGCGGGGAGCGCGGTCGTTTCCAGTAACGCGACTGTACCAACCGTTGATTGCGAACGCGGCCTCTTACTTGCGAATAAACCTGATCTCACTCGGAATCGGAAGAATTAAAATGTCAATTGACAGTCAAAAGACGTCATCAACAGTCTGGGCCGAAAGTTCAACTTCTGCTCAAAAGTATGGCGCGTGAGTCAGAAGATCCCCTCAGACAGTACTAGGCTAGTACTTGTCTGAATAATCCCCATTTTTCGAATGAGAGACTGTATCCTACGGAGTGTCAAGTTGACTTATGGATGAGCACCGGCACGATAATCAGCCTTTCTCACAGAGACTCCAAAAAATAAAACC